GAAAGTTCAAAATTAATTATTTTGATAATATGGTAGTGGTTATTTTTAAAAATCTATGAAAGTAAAGCTTTTTACTTAAAAAATAATATTTTAAAATGAGTGAAAATGCTCTATTTAGGCTTGAGACGTTATCGGAATGTCTCGCATATGGGTATGACATGAAAAAGGACTCGGCATTGATAAGCAACTTTTATTTATTTTTATTCTTTTATAGCTGACCGTTTTGCACTTGAATAATGCTACTTTGCCAGAAAATATGTGACATAATAGTTAACATAATGAGTGTTGGCGAGATGTGATTAATTGAAAAAAATGACTGTATTTTAAACAATCAAATGATGGGTAGCCACGTAGCATTATGTTAAATATTATGTCTGTCATTATGTCTATGTAGCATGATTGTTTAGACTTGGCTCTAGGCATTAAAATAGGGTGGACAATTTCCTGGACACATTAGGGTAAGATTTATCGGGGTTCCAATTTCTTGTAAGTGCATCATACAAGTCCTCAATCTAACGTTTGTTGAACTTTTGACCTCAATCTTTTAAAAATTGTGATGTGAAATCATGTCTCGAAAAATAAGCCCCTGTTTTGTTTTGAAAAATCCAAATTTTTAGTAGATTTTAATAAAAATTAATCGAATATGTAATCGAAAGTTATGGTTCTTATAAAATGTGCATTTAAATTAATTATTGACCTTTGACTTAATTTTAATCCAATTTTTAGGCTAAATGACAAATTACTCGATATTGGACTAAAGATGTAGAGTTGTCCATAAAATTACATTTATTTCAAATTCAAAACTTCATTTTTCATTTAGAGATTCGTGTGTTGTAAAACTCCTCAATAATGTAGAACTTATAACTCCCTATAACTCATTCTGGTACTTGGATATTAGAGTTCAAATAGTTGAGAGTCATAGGCGCCATAATTTTAAAATATTAAAATAATGCACGTGACAAATAGTAAATCGTGAGCATGAGTGTCACATCACACTTATAAAAGATTGAAAATGTCTAATGAAACTTACAGAGTTAAATTAATCAATGGTCACTAAACTTTGCTATAAGTTACTATTTGCTCATCGAAATTTAAAAAGTTACTCTTTACTCTTTGAATTTGAACAAAGTTATACATCAATCATCTATAACATTTCCATCAATGTTGCCTACAACAAAGTTCAATGAGTAACGGGTAACTTTGTTCAATTGATAATTCTAGTTGAAGTCTATTTGGGAATTTAAGTTGGAATTCAATTTGGGAGTTGAAAATACACTTGAAGAGGTCTTGAAAGAGTCCAAGTTGTAATTAGATTCTGTTAGCTTTTTGGTAGTTTTTTTAACTCATATTTCATCTCAAATATTTCATTATTAGTTTTATTCATTGTATTGAGACTTTACCTTATATTAAACTCTTTATTATATTATATTTCTAGCCTGCGGTGAGGCGCGACCCAAAATAAACAAAGGGAGAAAACTTGCTTTGCTTGCCGTAGCCTTCCTTTAATAGATTTGGCTTGGTA